ACTCGCTTGTTCCCTGGCAGGGTCACTGGCTGCAGGATAACGGCCAGGGAGGAAAAACTCTGCGATGAAAGCGAGACCTCCGTCTGCCCTTCGCCCCGGTAACCTGCATCCCGTCAGAGCCTTGGCGGTCTCCTGCTGAGGGGCGGGGAAAGGGTTACACTTTGGGGAGCACCAGGCTCACTGTCTGCTCTGGCATCCTGAGAGGGGGAGGCGTGGGCAGAGCGGAGGGGAAGGATGGAGCTGCAGCTCAGAGGCATACCAGGCCCCTCCCTCTAGATTCTCCTCTTTCCTGACTCTGAACCAAAGCTTTGCCCATGTCACCAGGTTCAAGCCTTCCCACCAACCTGGGCTCACACTCACGCCATACTCAGGTGCCCTCCCATCCTATCCACCAGGCAAATGCCCACGCATTCTCCGTGGATGAAGGTCAGCCCTGAGACCCACTGTCCTGAACAAGGAGCCCCCTGCATGCATCCAAAATGGGGTAAACACATCCCCTCCCTGCCATAGCACCCACTTGAGCTCTGTTTAAACTGGTGCTCGATAAATCCCTGTGGCCTGGATGGGGGCACAGATGAGTCATCTATCCTCAGCCCCCACAGGCTACTGTGCCGGACTTGTACTGACTTTGAACATTCCACTGGTGGCTGACAGAAGCCTTTTTCTAAGTCAATTATTCAGTACATCAGAAGGATACAACTTCCAGCACTCAGTCAGCAGCTCCCAACATGCTTTCTGTTGGAATAATTACTTCTGGGAGTGAAAGGGACAGAAACAATCTGGACAATATATTCCTGCCAGAGGAAGCTTAGAAAATTAAGTTGCCATCTTTTCCGTCACCCCTCCTGGGCACGTGCAATGAGAATTAGAAATTGTATATTAAATGCAATTCTGGAAACTTTCAAAGCTATCACTCAAGGAGAAATGAGATCAGACAACAAAAAACAAAACCTCAAACCAGGGCAGGAAGGAAAGTCTGATATCAGGAAACCGCTAACCCGAACCAGATCTTCTAACAATCAGAGTGATTTCGTTGGTGATTTATTCACGTCTAATCGAGTTAGGAGGAATTTTCACAAGTCTGGATGGAAGCTGTCAAGTGGGGAGAGATGAGCACAGATGAGGCTGCACTGGCCAGCCTACCCGCCTGCTGGCTGTGGCATTACCACCTGAGTCTCCCTGGGGCGTGCTGAGGTTGGCACAGTCTCCAGCCAGGCATGCAGGAAGCCCGGGTCCTTTATCCAGAGCCATGGCTAACACCGGGAATGCAAGGGTCCACAGCAGAACCTCATCTCTGGGCACCTAGTGATGGGCAAGTGATGGAGATGCAGGTGAACATGGACCTTCTGGTCTGGTGGAGGGGGACCACCCTGCTGGGAGAGCAGGTGCTGAGGCCTCTGCGGGGGACGGGGGGCTGGTGCAGCCCCGGAAGCAGTGAGGAGGTGCAAGGAGGCTTCTCAGCTGCGGATAAGGATATGTTAAGGATTGTCAAGGGCATAGGGGAAGACCTGCCCTGATAAACAGCATGGACACAGGACCAGAGGTAAAAGAGAGCTGGGTACACAGGGGGCACCCCAAGAAGCCTGACTGTGTCAGTGGTTCTTCAAGAGGGGGGTGGAGTGGGGAGGCTGAGGTTGGAGAGGCAGCAGGGTCAGATCGTGAAGGCACGACGACTGCGGGGCGTCCACAAGGAGAGCTCCTTTCAGCTGGCAGAAAAGGCAGGCAGACTCAAGAGAGAAGTCAGAGGGTCAGGGGAAGAGCTGAGACTGCTGTCCAGCAGACCCTGCATTCGATGCTGGTGCCACCACGTTCTGTGTGACCTTGGGCTAGGGATTCCTCTGTAATTATGGGACAAGGATAACACCTCCTTCCAAGGTTGTTGCAAGGATGAGTGAGATAACATACGCAGAGCTGGGGGTATAGGTGACAGAATGGCTGTGCGCACACTGGGAGAGAACTCTAGCGGATGCAGGTGGAAAAAATATGAAAGGGGGAAAGAGGGATGAAGAAACCACTAGTTTGTGGAAGAGTTTCCGGAGGGAGCTTGCAGACAAGAAGGGGAGAGGAAGAGGGAGTAAACATCCCAGGAATATGATCCCCCTTCTGGCATTTTCTCAGAATATTTGAAAGTATTTTGAAATTGCTTTTTGCTCACTTTTGGTTGATGGCCTGAGATTCCTCTGACCCGGGGCCATGAGTGATCGGTGAAAGGCCGTCACCTGGCCCACACAGGCTCTCAGAGGAGCTTGCCAGTGTTGCCAAGTTTCATGGTTGCGGTTATTTTTAGGGCTAGACTGTCACAAAGGCCCCTTTCCAGGGTATGCATAGCTCTGTGACCCTAAAGCCCTCGTCCACGCACTGGAAGACAAGGCAATCAGAGACCTGTCTCTGTGGGGAGAGTGTGACTCCCACTCCAGCCCCAGAACTTTCTCAATCTCTGCCTTGTACTTGCAGGGGGGTATCACCTCTCTGTATCACCTGCACCCCAGCAGACAATATGAGGCCTCTGGTACTGTGAAGAAGAGGCAGGTGTCTGGGGAATAAACCACGTATGTCCAGAGGGAATCAGAGATGCTTGCCCTCTGTTGACAATTGCATTCCACCGCTTGCTGCTTCAGCAGCTAGAAGCAAACCTGGGCCTGAATAAGCTCTTATTCAATAAGCCTCTCGTCCAGGGAAGAACAGGAGACACACATTTTTTAGACTGTTTTTTTGGTCAGAGAACGCTCTGGAATAGACTGCTTTGGTCTCAGGCCGCTAGCCTATACTGAGTCAATGTCATTCTCAGCACAGCACAGTAACCAAACTTGATTTATAATATAGCTTTGCTCTTAGATATTAAAGTGTTAATGAAATTGTTGTCATGAAAAAGAATAGCTTGTACTTTTATTTTAACCATTCTCAAGGCCCCATCTCTTTTTAAAAATTCATTTCCACCCACTTAAGGAAACTGTCTGATTATCTACTTGAAAAAAAAAAATCGGTCCTTGCCCCCCCGCCACCCTCCCACCCCCGCCTGAGGGTGATTTATTTTCTCTATAGAAAAATGTTAATAACTGGCCAAAAATCTAGTGGTAAATGCAAGGAAAAATGAGGTCTTTGGAAATGAAAACAAATAATTCAGTTTTCTTCCTTCAAAGAAATGGCTGCACCCAAAAGACACACAAGTAAAGCGGAAAAACAAATGATGTCAACTCTAAGTTCCTTGAAAGCACCCACTCAAGCCTTCTTGTCTTTCTGTCCATCTCTGCATCTCCAGACATTTACAGAGCACTTGTGGGCGCCAGGTCTCACTTAGGAAACTCACAGGTCAGGGCAGATGACAAACCCTTTTAACAGATCACTGCAGCAAAACGAGAAAAGTGCCTCCAGGAGAGACAGGTAGCAAGACTGCAGAGGCAAGAACCTCAGAGATAAAGCAGGGCAGGGATGGTGTCGCAGAGGAGGGGGCATTTGAGTAGGGTATTGACGGGTGAGTAGGAGTTATCAGACTGAAGACGTAGGAAAAGACACATGTTGTGTGGGAAAAGCGGAATACCCAACCTGAAAGGAAGCACAGCTGAAGAGCATGGCGGGGACAGACACGTGCTGAAGATAGAAACCCAGCTCAGTGCCTAGACCTTATCTTCTAACTGAGCAGAAAGGGTCCTATGCAGTGTTACTGAGGAACTGAACAGCAGGCAGTCCAGTGGATAGGACTCTCTGCTCTCACTGCTAGGCCTGGGTTCAGACCCTAGTCTGGGAACTAAGATTCTGCCAGCCATGTGGCATGGCTGAAAACAAAACAAAACAGTGGAATTCATTCTAGAATGCAAGGATGGTCCAATATTAGGAAATATATGTATACATCATGCTATGGACAGCAAGGAGATCAAACCAGTCAATCCTGGAGATCAAACAATCAACACTGAATATTCATTGGAAGGACTGACGCTGAAGCGCCAGTATTTTGACCACCTGATGCAAAGAGCCAACTCATTGGAAACGACCCTGATGCTAGGAAAGATTGAAGGCAGGAGGAGAAGGGGACGACAGAGGATGAGATGGTTGGGTGGCATCATTGACACAATGGACGTGATCCAAACAAAATCCGGGAGATAGTAAAGGACAGGGAAACCTGGCATGCTGCAGGGCATGGGGTCCAAAAAGTCAGGCATACCTGAGCAACTGAACAACAATATGCAATATTACAGAAATCAACAGACCAGTAGGGGCCCATCCTGAGTTGTAAGGCCAGGGAGGCAACTACTACACTGGTCCAAGTGAGAGATAAGGGGCCTGCAGCAGGGCAGTGGGGAGTGGACGCAGAAGGGCAGGTACAGGTAGGATCAGCAGGACTAGGTGACCAGTCCTGTAGTCTCAGGTTTTCATGCAGAGAATGTGGAAAGTTGCATGCAGGTTGAGAGTCAACTGTATAATTCATGTTGAGAAGGAAAAACCCAGAAACAAATACAAGAACAAAAAAGCAAACCAAAAGAAATGATAGTGGCAAGATGGAAAAAGGTGGGAGGCATCTAGCTGAGAAGATAAAGGCAAAGGGAACTGAGTAGAGAAGATGCTGAATTAGCGTTGCATAGTCTGAGGTATGAAAGGAGTCTTCCCTGATATATGGTTCTAACCTTTCTTTACATACTTCTGTTGATGGGGAGCTCATTACCTGTGGAGTCATCCTACTCCTAGCTTTGAACCATAATCTTTTCCTCTGGCTCCATACAGCTTCCTTTGAATTTTTACTCTCTGTTAAAATTGCTCAGTGACCCTTTTTGGAAAAAAAGTGTCTGATTTAGCACAAAGCACCTGGATGGCCTGACAGGCCTCCCATCTTTCTCATGGAGAACTCTCCACCAGAGCAGGGCAGAGGCTGAGGCAGTTCACAGTGCAGGCACGCAGACTACAGCACACGGGAGGCTGCCTACTCTTGCCCCCGACCTGGGGTTCTAAGCTACTCTGCCTGTCTGTGTCCCCCGCCCCATCGCATCCCGTCAGAAAATGGCCAGTACCGTGCTGTTGCAGCCAGCAAAGCAGGCGGACAGGTAGGTGATGCCGTCTGCCCCGCACACTGGGGTGAAGGAGTCGGTTTGGCATTCGCAGTTTTTATTGCAGGATGAGTAGGGGTCCAGGGCTGAGCCAGGCATTGAGCTGGAAAAGAGAGGACAGGCATCATCCATCAGAGAAAGGCCAGCTTCTTCTGGGTCCCCATCGACAGCCCCCTGCCCTCTGGGGTCATAGTGGCCACTGTGGCCACGGCACAGGGAAGGAAGGGCGCTGGTGTTTGGACTGTGCACGGATACACAGACGATGCCTCGGCCAGTGTGCTTCCATCCTGTCTGCCTGACCTCGCAGACAAGCCCGGCTCTGTCTGACTTAATGTCAGGAGAAAGCCGGGTGGCCTGCTCGGAGGAGGAGACTGGTGCGGGGAGGAACTGGGATCCTGCGGGCCAAGCATGCTGCAGCCCTGATGCTCCAGACTGGACTCCCAGGTAGATGCAGAGGCTCATGTAGAAAAAGGAGCAGCCACTGGTACTGGATATAACAGGACTCTCCATAACGCCCTCTAAGGAAAAGTCTGATCCAACTTCAGTTCAAAGTCTTGGGATAATAGATAGGAAATAAGATGTCCTGTAGGAGGAAAATTCCTTCCTTTCTTCCCTCCCTTCTCTCCTCCTCCCCCACCCCACACTTATCAACACCCACCATGGGTTGGACCCTGCGATTACTATGTGAGCCTAATGACAGCTTCTGATTGTTTAAGGAATTATTGAAGTCTCCTCTATTTTATGGACTCCCCTGGTGACTCAGATTGTAAAGAATACACCTGCAATGCAGGAGACCTGGGTTCGACTCCAAGGTTGGGAACATCTCCTGGAGAAGGAAATGGCAACCCATTCCAGCATTCTTGCCTGGAGAATCCCATGGACAGAGAAGCCTGGCAGGCTACAGTCCATGGGGTTGCAAAGAGTCGGACACAACTGAGCTACTAACACACATACACACTTCTGTCCTCTATTATAAGCTGAATTTTAAAATAAAACCTATTTTTAATTTTCTATCTTCATTCCAAAAATCAAATGCCAAAAATAGGCACTTGAGTTCTCTGGGGAGTGAGTGTCTGCCTGTCTCCCCAGTGCTCCCCTAGCCATCCTGGGAGATAGCTTTTAAGTGGAATTCTGTCGTCTCCACCCAGAAGGTTCACATGTATCCTTCAACCCTGGGCAGAAGATGCAGGGGCATCATCAACTTCCGGGTCAGCGTCACTAGGGACGAAGCTGGCTTCATTAACATACTCTGGAGAGAGGGTCTTGGCATCCCTGGGCAGGCAGGGGATGGTGGGGCGGGTGTGTGTGTGTGTGTGTGAGAGAGAGAGAGAGAGACCTTTCTGAGACTTACGAGTTTCCATAGGGAACAGTAACCCCAGCCACAGGGCCCGTGTCACAGCCCAGGAAGAGGAAGGAGACGTAGCAAGCGGTGGACACCAGGTTGACGAGCATGGCCATCCGAATGGCCCCGAGGGCAGACAGGCTGAGTTTCTTCACCAGGAGACCGCCCAGGAAGATGCCCAGACAGGCACATGGGATCGCAGTCATCCCTGGAGCAGAGCAGAGGGGCGGGAACCATTAGCCGGGGGAGCAGGGCCAGTCAATGCAGACACTGGGCGCCATCCCCGAGGCCGAGCCCTGCGTGAACAGAATCCCCCGTGACAATACCGCGGTGCCACTTCCTCCCCTGTACCCCGAAGTCTCTGCGAACAGCCTCATTTCTACGCTCAAGGAGCCCATGGTTAACTGGGGGGACACAGACATGTAAAAACTCACAGTGATGAGGCATGTAAGTCATACACCTCTCATGCTAAGCGGGGAACCCTCACGGGAAACAGCCCCAGCTGCTGTGAGAACAACCGACAGACAGGGCAGATGGGCTGAGAAACACGCATGCGTGTTAGCAACGTGTCCTCTGTGTTTCCCAGGCGGTGCGGGAAGGGGGCTCAAGATCATTTGGGGATTTTCTCCTCTTCAGGCAAAGAAGGGTCTGGAGGTTGTTTAAACAGGGGCCCCAGAACTCACCAACCTAGAGAGAGACAGTGTTTTAACCAGACCCGCAACCTCTCAGGAAGTAGCATTGATCAAATCAATACATTTTGTAGCTCCTGGTGAGTAACTGGCATACATTTTTATCCCCCACCCCAACACCTTTTATAAACAGAGTTATCTGCAAGGCAGCAGGACTATAAACCTTTTATTTCTGATTCTCAGAGACTCAGGGCATCTTAGGAGGACTAAAGGATCCTAGGGGTTCCAATCTCTTGTTTGGTTTTGTTCTCATTCATTTCATCTAAACTCAACTTTAAATTACTGCATGTCATTTATCCGCCATGTAGACTGTGCATGGCCAATTTTCCAGTTTAGGCTGCCTCTTGCTTGCCAATCAACAGACCTCTAGGTCAACTGACTACATCAACCAGCTGGTATGTGCCAAAGGAATGCAAATTAATTTTAATATTCGGGTGAGAAAAGCATAATCAGGGAGGCTGAGCTCTGCAAAGAAAATAGCACAAGTCAGATTTAAGAAAACCACAGTATTTTTGTATTACTTGATGTTCTTTCTCATCCTGGTACAGACATGATCTTCAGGACCTCACCCCTACTCGCCTGTCTCTCCCCTATGCCATACTGACTCCCCAGCCATACGCAGTCCTCTTCTCTTCCCCCTGGAACAGACCAAATCCATTCAAGCCCCTAGTCTCTGCACTTGCTGATTCTTCTTTTATGACATTCTGTTGTTGTTTAAGTTGCTAAGTCCTGTCTGACTCCTTGCAACCCTATGGACTGTAGCCCACCAGGCTCCTCTGTCCATGGGATTCTCCAGGCAACAATACTGGAGTGGGTTGCCATTCCCTTCTCCAGGGGATCTTCCCAACCCAGGGATCAAACTTTTGTCCCCTGCATTGGCAGGCAAATTCTTTACCGCTGAGCCACCAGGGGAGCTCCCAGGACATTCTTACCCTATGTCTTTACCTGGCTGGGCCCTATCCTCACAGGGAGCCCAGGACACCCCACCTAGAGCGACCCTGCAGCCCATCTGAGATTCCTTACTGTCTCCTGCCATGTTTTATTGTTTACATGGCTCTCTCCTCGTTATGTGAAGCTGCCTCGGACATTTCTGGTTTTCTGGTTTCTTGTTCTCTCTCCCCCTCCTAAGATGCAGTTTCCCCAAGGACCGGTTCCATCCTGTTCAGCCCTGGTTTCCTATGCCTAGCACAGCGGCCAGCCCAGAGTGGGCACTTGGGAACTGTTTTCTGGATGAACAAAAGAGCGAGCAGATTGGATCTGTGTCAGTGAACACCGATGACCACAGCCCATGCCCGAAGAGCAGGCTGCATTCCATTCCATTTTCCATCAAAGGCGGCAGGGAGCAGCCCCTGGTGATGATGGTAACTATGGCAATAACAGGCTTTGGGCACCTTCTCTCCAAGCCATCATCCACTTCCCCTCTCCCTCCCTGATGTGTATGAAGCCTTAGCATGCGGGCGGTTATCAAAACTTCCCTGAAAATTCCATCCTCATTACATTAACCTATGCAGATTGAGTCCTTCTTATCTTCATGCATAAATCAAGGCCATCAGTCCTTAATCATCTGTGCTGCTCTTTTTCGGAACTCTGCCCCATCTACTGATGAATTCGTGGGTGGCCCAGAGACAGCACTGATGGCCCGGGCTGACGGCAGAGGGTTCATCCCCTAGGTCTGTGGGAGCTACTGATGAAGGTCTCTGGGACACAAGTCTTGCCTTAGGCTTCCGTGGCCTCTCTCTGTCCCCTCAGGGCCCCTCGTCAGCCCCTCCTGCAGCCAACACTCCAGACAGCACGACAGCGTGATGCCACGGGCAGGGCACAGGGAGAGGGCATATGTCCTGCCTGCCTGGACTGCCAGACAGATGGACAGACTGACAGATGGCCACCAGGCTGCCTCTCCCCGGGCCAAGTGCTTTAACAGAGTCACTGAGACAGAGACAGATGCAGGAAAGCGAGATTGATTTTTGCCTTCTGCCCTGAAAACTACTGATTTGTTGATAGGAAACTTTAGGAATCTGTTCTGAACTAGAACAGAGCCCCAACTTTGAAGCAAATGTAATCAAAATGTAAGAAGCTGCAGTCAAGAAATCAGGAAGTGAGAGAGAAAGTCTTTGGGTGCTAGAGGGCTAAACCTGAGAGATCGTGGGTGTAACGGAGAAGTTATAGCTTTAATTACAGAGACACTTTTTACCCTATCTCTGTCAGATGGGTACTAAGGGCTGACTGCATTTTGCTAATATCTCTTGGAAAAAAATGCTTATAAAAGAGTGGGTGGTAAAGAGTTATTAGTGAGAAAAAGAAAAACATCAGCCTTGTGCTGCTCTGGCAGCCTCCAGGGAGAGGTGCTGGGGTCTGGCCACATCCTTGTTGGTAGGGTTTTATTTATTTTTTTATAAACTCGATACCTTATGTTCTGTGACGTGCACAAGACTAAGGGAACACAGATGACTTGTTGCGTCTGTACCCACCCCTGTACTAAAACATTTCCAGCAGCATCAGGGCTTCCCTGCTGTCCTCATTCTCCCAAAGTCCAAGAGTAACTATCATTCTGGCCTCTATTACTTTGATTAATTTTCCCATTAAAAAAAAGTATTTATTTTCCTTATTTTTGGTTGCACCGGGTCTTCACTGCTGCGCGGCCATTCTCCAGTCGCAGAGAGTGGGAGGCTGCTCCCGAGCTGTGGTGCGCAGGCTGCTCACTGAAGTGGCTCCTCTTGCAGCAGATCACAGGCCTCGGTACTTGTGGCTCTGGGGCTCCAGAGCTTGGCCTCAGTAGTTGTGGTGCACTGGCTTAAAGCCGCTTCACAGCATGTGCAATCATCCTGGACCAGGGATTGAACCCGGGTCCCCTGCATCTGCAGGCAGATTCTTATCCATTGTACCACCAGGGAAGTCCAACTTTTCCTCTTTCTAACTCTTATTAATATGACTCTTTGAGTCTGACGTCTTTTGACAGATCCATCCACATTGAGATATATATACAAGCTCTTGCTTTCTTATGCTGTGTGGCAGTCCACTGTATGAATATTCTATAATTTATTTACCCATTCTACTAACTGATAGATATCCGGACTGTTTCCAGTTTGCGGGTTTATGCATAAGGCTGTTTTAGATACTGTTACCTATGTGCATATATATGTTTAGCTGTGAAGTCATGTTTGACTATTGTGACCCCATGGACTGTAGCCCGCCAGGCTCCTCTGTCCATGAGATTCTCCAGGCAAGAATACTGGAGTGGGTTGCCATTTCGTTCTCCAGGGGATCTTCTCAACCCAGGAATTGAACCCAGGTCTCCTGCATTGAAGGCAGATTCTTTCCCAACTGAGCTATAAGGGAAGCCCTACTATTACCTAAGCATATATAAATAAGTGGACCTAAACACTCATTTCTGTTGGATTTATGCCCAGAAGTGGAATGCTGGATCCCAGAGTTAGTATATGCTTTCAGCTTTCGTAGGCACTGCCAAAGAATTCTTCCCAAGTGCTTGTACCTCTGTGTACCCCACCAGCATCAAAGGAGTGTTCCAGTGGCTCCACCTCATCACCAACACTTGCTGCTATCAGTCTGGTGGACGTGGACTAGCATTTCATTGTTCACATGTGTTTTCCTGGTGACTCATGTTGGGTCAGCACCCTCACATGGGTTTACTGGCCATTTTGTGAAAGAAACACTGAAGGAGAAGATCAGAAAATATCACCTTGCCATTCTTCTCAGGACACGATCTACTCCTACTTAACAGAAGATCATTCCATGGGGCGGGAGTGTTCTCAACTTCCAGACTGGACTTGTCACATTCTTGGGGGTCATCCTCATGTCTCTCTTCTTTTCTGCAGTTTCCAAAACAGATGAGCTCTTCCATCAAAGGCTGTCTACCACATTCCCTCTCTTTTCCGCACATCACCTCTGCTGGCTCTTTCCCCTCTGCTTAGATACCTGTTCAAGTCTTTCCTGCCACAATAGCAACTGTCTCTTAGCAACAGTACCATTACTCCAATCACTTGACGGCAACACACATCACCCACCATGTCTCCACTCCTTCCTTCCACTGCTAAGCTTGGGAAAGTGTCCTGCAGTCACTGGTTATTCTTTCCCTCCTGTGAGCTGCTCCTTACACCACAACATGGGCTCACCTGCTGCAGCTTCAAGGACACAGCCCTGACACAGGCTGAAAGACAGCCTGCTTGTTGAAGGGACCCAAGATATGTGAGGCTGCATCACACACGGACACTCTCACTGCTGATGGCTTCTTTCTTGGAATCATCTCTTCCTTGACACCCTGTGATCCACGAGTTTCTTTCAGGAGTTGCCTCTATGGTTTCCTCTATTTCCCCATGGGTGGTGTTTCACTCTTCTATTTCTACACATTTTCCTTCTGTAAATTCCATTCCTGTGTCCTCAATGACCATGCACACACTAATGTGATTCACATCTCCTCCAGTCCTCAGCCACACACAGGACATCATGTGGATACATCATGGCCATCTCACACTCAGCAACTTCACGTCTGAACTCACAGCCTTCCCTACAGATCTGATTCTTTATTGCTACTTTCAGGCTTCACAAACAGTACCACCCCCTGTCTAAGCCAGAAACCTGGAAGTCATTCTTGACCCTTCTCTCTCCTTGTTGTGCTATGAGATCACTTTCCCTATCAGGTATAAGTAATCCTGCTTCTCACGAGTGGAAACTGGTTCTCTTTAGCAGGCCAGCTCCAAAGGACTGGAGGCAGATGTCTGTGGTTTACTGCTGAGAAAGATTGGTAAGGCCACACTTGAGCTTGGGGAGAAGGAATGTTATGATCCATTAGTTATGTCTGCCATGGGCACAAGGATGGAGGAGAGCAAATGGCTTCTAACCTCTACATCTGTTGACCATGGGTTTTATGTTTCCAAGAATATTCTTGCTTTTTTACGCTCCTGATCAAAGCCTATGGGGTTGGCCAAAAAGTTCATTTGGGTTTCTCCATCACATCTTATGGACAGAACGATCTTTTTGGTCAACTCAGTACTAACCTTTTAAGATCCATCTTGATTCCCCTCTTTGTTCATCACATCTTCCCCCTAATTCTCCAGTTTACACCAATTTATGGACTTCCTGGTCTGTCACAATGCTTCCTATACACATTTTATATTTTAGCTCTTTATTATCACGTACTTCAAGCAACTGCTTCAAGCAGGTAAATCTTACTCCAAGAAAATACTCTGAAATTCTTCTGCACACAGACCACATGTATATTCTGCTGCAGGAGCAGCACGATCTGGGCTGTTTGATTGGTCTCAGCCAACGCTTATGGTATTAGGAGCACTGGCGGCCTCCCGGTGCGGGGTGGGGGCAGGTGGGTGACACAGACTTACCTAGCAGCTGGTTGGCAGAAGAGGTGGTGAGGTTAAACTGCTGCTCCAGATACTTTCCCAAGAAGGCAGCGAAGCCAGCCACCACTGCAATCTCCATGCAGGCGGCCAGGATGATACAGGTAAACACAGGGTTTGAGAGCAGGTGCTTCGTGACCTTTGGGATCACTGCAGGGAGAGAAGTGGGGGACCAAGGTCATAGATACTACACTCCAGGCCTTCTGCCGCTGAGGCCCACTCGACCCATCCCAGGAAACAGCACCTGGCTGCTCAGGCTGAGGCCTATAACCTGTAAGTCAGTCATAATTGTGAAAACTCTGGTTTCAAAATACACGCTAATATTTTGTCAACTAAACTGAAAACTACTAAACCAGGAAAAACCACACAATGTCTTTTTTTTTTTAAACAGCACACTGGAAACACTATTTTATAAGCCATCCAAAAATTTTTATTTCTATCCAACATATAGAAAGAGGCATTTGGGGTTTGTTCCTCAAAAGGTAAAATATAACTTAATTATATATTATAAATACATTATAAATGTATTAATTACATTATATTAATATATCTAAGTTATATATACATACATTATATTTTATTTTCTTGGGCTCTGAAATCACTGTGGATGGTAACTGCAGCCATGAAATTAAAAGACGCTTGCTCCTTGGAAGAAAAGCTATGACAAACCTAGACAGTATATTAAAAAGCACAGACATCACTTTGCCGACATGGTCCATGTAGTCAAAGCTATGGTTTTTCCAGTAGTCATGTATGGATGTGAGAGCTGGACCATAAAGAATGCTGAATGATGAAGAACTGATGCTTTCTAATTGTGGTCCTGGAGAAGACTCTTGAGAGTCCCTTGGATTGCAAAGAGATCAATCCAGTCCATTCTAAAGGAAATTAAACCTGAATATTCATTGGAACAACTGATGCTAAAAGCTGAAGCTCCAATACTTTGGCTACCTGATGCTAAGAGCCGACTCATTGGAAAAGACCCTAATGCTGAGAAAGATTGAAGGCAGGAGGAGAAGAGGATGAGATGGTTAGATGGCATCACTGACTCAGTGGACTTGAGTTTGAGTAAATTCCAGGAGATAGTGATGAACAGGGAAGTCTGGTGTGTTATAGTCCATGAGGTTGCAAGGAGTTGGACATGATTTAGTGACTGAACGACAACAAAGTGGATATATCAATACATTTGTGATAAATATTTATAACTGCATGTGTTAAGAAAATATAATCTTTAACAACTCATTTTTTTTATTTTACATTGGAGTACAGTTGATTTAAAATGCTGTGTTAGTTTCAAGTGTACAGCAAAGTGATTCAGTTATACACGTATCTATTCTTTTAAAGATATATTTAATCTTAATAGTTTCAAGAAAAATGAAATGTTAGTGTATGCATGTGCTTTGCTTAGTCACTCAGTTGTGTCCAACTCTTTACGACCCCATGGACTGTAGTCCCCTATGCTCCTCTGTCCACGGAATTTTCCAGGCAAGAATAGTGGAGTGGGTTGTCATTTCCTACTCCAGTGGATCTTCTCGACCCAGAAATCGAACCTTAGTCTCTTACATCTCCTGCAATGGCAGGCAGATTCTTTACTACTATGCCACCTGGGAAGCCCAGGATATGTATATGTATATATATGTGCATGTGTGTGTGTATTCCACATATATGTGTGTGTACGTATGTGTGTGTGTGTGTGTGTGTGTGTGTGTATATATATATATATATATATATTTCCAACCTCTATCCCACCCTTCCTTCTCACAACCATAGGTACCTGGCCAAGCTTCCGTGATCACTCACTTGGGGAGACCAGAGTCTTCTTTACCACTTTTACTCTTGATGCAAAACAGCCCTTCCCTATACAGTAGCCAGTGGAACCAGCTCTAATCATTTTCCCATTCAGAACTCCAGAATGGCCCAAATCCACATGTGGCACGATGGCCCACGGTCTGCCCCTCAGCTGTCTGATCACACTTCTGATCACGCTCCATCCTCGCTCTGGCCCCACCCCAGCTGGACCTGGTCCTCCCCACCCAGGTCTGTGCATGAGCGGGGCGGGGGGGTCTTCCCTCCATTAGGATGCTCTGGTCCCAGATCTTTGCTCCATCTGTTCCTCCTTCCTCCGATGGCCTTTCCTCGTCACTCAAGGCAACCCAGAAGCTGCCCTGGTGCTCAAGGCTCAAATGAGGATTAATGCTTGGCAAAAATACTTTGTGGCTTGTGTACCACTTTAATTACCAATGGAACTGAAGCAGGTTTTTGTTGAGCTGGTATATTTCAATCTGATTGTATTATACTCTGTTTTTTAAGTATGTGATTTCATAAACCACTGGGATTTCACTTTAATTCTGTGCTTTCACAAGTGAGATATTTGGTATTCTTAAAATCCTTTGAGAGTAATCATGTTATTTAGATATTTTCAGCCATCAGTATCCTTGGTACAGGGTCTTTGACCAGATCTCCTCAGCTGTGGAGTGATGACATGTTCTGGAAGTATGCAAGGGAGTCTGGGAGTACTAGAACATACCCATAATTTCAATATTTATGCTATCATTTTGATATGTACTAAGTAAAAAAAGTTAACTAAAATAAAACTGATAAATCAAGTGTTTGGTTTCATGGCTACAATAACTTAAAATGATGCTAGGTTAAAACAAGTAGACTGAAGACTCCCCTGGTGGTCCAGTGGTTAAGAATCCCCCTGCCAGTGCAAGGGACATGGGTTTGATACCTGGTCTTGGAAGATCCCACATACTGTGGAGCAACTAAGCCTATGCACCTAAGTACCATAACTTCTGAGTCCAAGCTCTAGAGCCCTTGCTCTGCAAAGAGAGAAGCATCACAATGAGAAGCTACATATCACAATAAAGAGCAGCCCCTGCTCGCTGCAACTAGAAGAAAAACAAACAGATTTACAGTTACTTAAAGAGAAGTCATGTAAATAATGGTACAGCTGGTAAGGAGATAAGGCAGAAATGTGTAAAAGTGGTACATCAGTGACAAGTTAGGGGACCTCTGTTCCCCTGTAATCATAATAATGTGGAACACTTGGCACATGGTATACTTGATCCCACCTGTGTGAACAGAAAAAGGTAAAAGAGAGTCCCAGATGAAGACTGTACCACCCCAAGTCTAGGAAAAAACAATCAGGGCCCACGGTCATACAAAATAAGCAGGTGAGCTGTGTCTAGCACTGCTCACCAAGAAGATGAATTAGCCAGCTGTCCTAAAGAAGAGAGCTTATTACACAGGCTCAATCTCATCTCCTAGGAGACAAAACCTCTAAATGGCCCAACTAATTAGAATAAAATAATAATAGGAGATACATAAGTTTTTAATAATGTTAACAGACATGCTCAATTAATCAAAATGACAGAACAATGGGTCAGAAACTGGCAGATACATACACCTTAAAACTTATTATTTCTGGGAAAGATACCAAGTTTTAAAAATGAAAATCTATATATAAGATAGGGACTTAAGGAGTCTTTGACATAATGAAAGGAACTTAGTTTTTGGAATGGACTGAGCCAAATTATTGGAGACTCAGAATCACCATGCACTGAGAAATCCAATTCTATATTCCAGCTGAGAAGCAATCAGACAATAACCAGAGCTGGTGGCCTCAGCTATTCTGCAGTAGTTTCTTAGAAAGAAAGAAAGTGAAGTCACTCAGTCGTGTCCAACTTTTTCGATCCCATGGACTGTAGACTACCAGGTTCCTCCGTCCGTGGGATTCTCCAGGCAAGAGTACTGGAGTGGGTTGCCATTTCCTTCTCCAGGGGATCTTCCCAACCCAGGGATTGAACCTGGGTCTCCTGCATTGCAGGCAGATGCATTACCCTCTGAGAAACTACTAAAACCTTAGGAAGGCAACTCTTGGATTAAATAAATGCATGTACAACATGCACAAAATAAAACAAAAACTTTAAAAAGGGGGGTGGTGGTTCAGTTGTGTCCGACTCTTTGCTGCCCCAGGGACTTAAATCATCAGCCTCCCATGCCTACGGAATTTTCCAGGCAAGAATACTGGAGTGGGTTGCCATTTCCTACTCTAGGGGGATCTTCCTGACCCAGGGATCAAACCTGCATCTCTTCCATCTCCTGCATTGGCAGGTGGATTCTTTACCACTAGCACCACCTGGGAAGCCCTTTAAAAAGAGTATGAACAAGAATAAAGATATGGGAAAACAACTTTGAATCCATGGGATTCATAGAGCTACCTTATTCACATACCTACTTTATTGCAAGTGCACAGGCCTTTATGAGTGTGTTTTGTTCATCTTTTACAGGATTTCAAACATTGATAATAATCTTTTCCTCAAAATGTCATTGTGAATAATTGTCTAGAGGAGGTTACACTTAAAATCTATGTTTAAGTGTTGGAAAATTTCCCTTTGTTAAATCCACATTATTAAGTATTGTACATATATTTAGAGCAATGTTGATTGTGTAATGTTTAAAAATGTGCACTGTTCAACAAATACAAAAGATGGATGCACTGGACATAAACAGAAGGTGACGAGGTAAGTATATGTCTTCATGAACAAAACCCCTGGGATGCTAAGACTCCATCATCATAAATCACTGCTAATAAGTGAAGGCTGGTTTAACACACTGTGATGGTACAATGCATCTGTGACAAGGGATGGGCTGATTATGTCACAAAGAGCCAAGCCTCACAGAGAGTGGCATGGATTGCATGAACAACCACAGTGCTTCCTTGTAATAAATGAATTTGAAAGCCTCCAGCTGTTCATGTTTTGGCAGGTAATAACACTATTGCTCCATCATTGTAGCCTTTTGGCATTAAGATATCTAAACTCTGGAAATACTGTTGACAATCAGTAGGCAGGTTGGTGACATTCTAGGAAAACCATCCTTTGCCGTATTTTTCTTGGAGGGTTCACTTTCCTTGTTACTGTGAAGATTCTTTAGGTCTGGGGACTTCCAAAGAAAAAGCACCACAGCCACAAATAACACTGCCATTGAGCTGACACCATGAATATCTGACTGTGTTGTCTGGCTAAAAAATGACACCAATGAGAATTCAAGTTTGATCACATTATCTATTTGTTGTTGTTCACTAGCAAAGTTGTGTCCAACTCTTTGTGACTTCATTTACTGCAGTACACCAGGCTTCCCTGTCCTTC